AGCCGTCAGCCTTCGTTTACTTTCTCTGAAGCCGGTCGGCCTATGCTTGCTCGAAGTGACTCGGGTTCCCGGCCGGTTTCAAAGGGTTCCTACTCCTCAACCGTGGCTTCTGGTCCTTCTGGGCGGGCTTCTCCATGGCAAGGTTCATCTCGAGGCGGTTCTCGACGACCCCAATTCCCGTCATACAGACCTGCCTCGTCAGATGACTGGAGACGAACGCCAAGCAAGAGACAGACTCCTGTGCTGAACTCTGATTTTACTTATGGTAGCAGCAGCTCCGCCTCGGATGCTCTGGCCGAACCTGAGGAAGATTCTGGTGATGCTCAGCATGCGCTTCGGAAGGTTCTCCGTGAGCGAGGTCGGAACCCACGGCCACAGATGGCTAGCTACGGGGCCCGGCCGACATTGTCTTCACGTCCTCCTTCCATGTCACATCTTCGCTCATCACCGCCTCGATTCGGTACTGAATTGGATATTAACTCTCGGCATGTACCATCGTCTCCAACGACCATGACGGATCCTGATCTGGCGACTCCTATTACCAATCGGTTCAGCAACTACCCGAGCAATGGGACTCGGTGTGTATGTAATTCCATGGAAAATGGCGGCCATCTCATGATTCAGTGGTAAGTACAGCCATGCTTAAGTGTCATTGCCTTTATTCTAACCCGAACAGTGAATCATGCAATCATTGGCTTCATACAAAGTGCGTCGGTCTCGAACGGTCCCACCTACCATCAGTCTATGTCTGCATGTTTTGCGCCCAGACCCCGTCACGACAACGCGTCCGTGGTCCATTAGGAGTTGCTGGGCAAGCACCTCCTTCCCCCCTCGCACACAAATCGGTCCGACTCCGCTAAACAGTCTATGCCATATGGAACTGCTCCGAATGTACTGTTCCAACTTCTCATGTGATGACGCTGCACGGCAGCCGACAAAGATTCCGGCCTTTCATTTGTTATGATTTTGTTTATTCTGCATCAGGATTTTTTTTTTTTTAGACATACCCCTTTTATTTCGTGTTCCAAACAACCTATTGCATGCATCATTGTTTTATGCCATTTTCATTACTCTAATATTTCCTTCTGTCCGAGGCAAACCTCACTGTGATACCATTGTATGCTACATTACCAGAGTACTATCGAATACATTCTTCTACAGGGATACAGGGGTACAAAGTTAAAAAAAAAAATACTGCCGTTGCTATGCGAAGGCGGTCAAAACGACCGGGTAGTACCCCGACTGGCCGACCCGGCTTATCAGCTGACCGCCCTCGATAACAGGTTGTTTTACGCCCTCCGAAAGTCATATTTTGTGGAATCCCCCGCGGCGGCTTTCCTTATACAGTCTACGCTTTTGCAATTGTCGCCATGACTTCGTCTGTTCCTGGGAATCGTGAACTCCCCGCGTCTCAGTATGACCTTAGCACATATTGGGGCCGCGTGCGCCATTCCGCAGACATAGCGGATCCGAGGTGAGCATTATGTATACCCTTGCGATTGAGTCAAAACTGGCCATTTTTCAGTTTAATGGGCTTGTAATTGAGTGGACAGAGCTGATAATAAACAAGGATGATGTTCGTCTCGTCCACGGGTCTCGAAAACGCAAAGAGGCTCATTACCTCGTACAAACAAAGCCAAATCCCTAACATGACCCCGGAACTATGGCGCGCAAAGAAGGTGGTGGACTCGACAATCCATCCTGGTACGCCTCGCCCCCATGAGATTGAATAATTATGGATAAAGCGGTTGTTAACAGTGGCAGACAACGGCGAACCGGTTTTCTTGCCGTTCCGCATGTCGAGCTATGTCCTGTCGAACTTGATTGTTACGGGTGGTATGCTCACACCTGGGCTGAAGACAACTGGAACCCTCCTCTGGCAAATCACCAACCAATCTCTCAACGTCGCGATCAACTCCGCCAACGCGAACAAGTCTACGCCGCTTTCGGTCTCGCAAATAGCCCAGTCCTACCTCATGGCCGTCTCCGCATCCTGCTCCGTCGCCCTGGGTCTAAACGCCCTCGTTCCGCGCCTCAAAAACCTCAACCCGAACACGAGGCTCATCCTCGGCCGACTCGTCCCCTTCGCCGCCGTCTCCAGTGCCTCCGCACTGAACGTCTTCCTTATGCGCGGCGAAGAAATCCGCCAAGGAATCGACATCTACCCCGTCCTCTCCGAGCTCGAAAAGAAGAAGCGCGAAGAAACCGGCGAGGCCGTGCAAAGCATCGGCAAGAGCAAGAAAGCAGCTACACTAGCCGTCGGCGAAACGGCCATCTCGCGCGTGCTCAACGCAACGCCCATCATGGTTGTCCCGCCGCTCGTCTTGGTTAGACTCGAGAAGACAGCGTGGTTGAAAGCGAGACCTAGGATGGTTATGCCGATTAATCTGGGTGTTATCCTAGCGACGTCGTTGTTTGCGCTACCGCTTGCGTTGGGGGCGTTCCCGCAGAGGCAGGCTATTAATGCGAAGTCGTTGGAGGAGGAGTTTTGGGGGAAGGGCGGGTTGGATGGGCAGGTGGAGTTTAATCGGGGAATGTAACCGTTTTCGCAAAGGTGATGATGTATGTTTATGGAGGGTCATAGGTGGGTTGGAAAAGTTTGGTTCGTTCTATTTGGATGTGTATAGATACGCATGATAAAGTATATACTTGTATTTTTTTTTATTATTTTTTTTAACAGCCAGCTGGACATAATACTGTTTAACAGCGTATGCTCCAGTCAACATTCAAATCAGTACTCTTTCGCAATGATGTAAGAATAAATATTTATCGATCCTGTCCGCATAGGTTGTCCGCGCCCGTGCCCACACGCAAGTAACATATGCCATTAGCCTTTTCTCTTGATATATTGTAGCGGGTTGCACTTTGTTACTTGGGCCAGTCGCAAGATGGCCGCGGGTCATGGAACGTGTGTTCTCGTGGGATTTGATGTTCACAAATCGAGATACCAGGATCGGCTACGATAGCCAGAATCCGTAGACCATCTAATCCTTCTAATAGGATATGCCATTACTTGGCCCAGCATATCAGATGTAAAATTTGGTACATGACTGTAACACCTCGAGTGATAAGGGTCGCGAGCATATAGTGTCTGTGTCGGATCGTTTTCACGCTGTTAGGGCTGTATATAATACGGTGATGCTAGACCACCGGAATTCGAGAGTACAATGATGACAAGATTATTCTGAGATTGTACCGGTAAAAAATAGCATCTGGTAAATTTACCACCCCTGGAAGATGACACAGGCTCTATCGTAGCACCCATGTATAGTGACAAATGTACACCTTGCCAGCACATCTTCGTCAACCAAAGAATGCTACCGGAATTGTTTGAATCGAGGTCTTTTTCGAGACAAAATTTGTAGGTGTTGTGGACAATCAACCCTTTATTTCGTTACTGGGATCAGTTGCGCATGTTTTGAATAAAGGCTGGGGGCATTGCTTAACACTGCCCGGAGCATACAAAAGCATTGCTGGATTAGTGATAAAAGCTAAACTAGTTTCCCGATCTCGTTTGGGATGATAGAGCTTTGGTATGGCATTCCAAAGATACTGTCTTTCCATCTAATGCCATTGTAGTTCATAGAAAGAAGAGACAATTCCATCGGAGTTCTAGTGGCTTTCTAGCATGTTGCATATCACTTTAGCGTGCTCGTTTGAACGAGAAATTATAGTAGCCCATGTTGTAGACTATGGACTAGATCGTGTTTAGATAGGGTCAAGCAAGATAGATCGATGCGAGTTATAAAACGTTGAATGTGAGAAATATACACACAAGACATCGATTTACTGAATAAGTTCTCATGAGAATTATGGGCAACTAGTGTACCCAGGTTTTGTTTGTAGAAATCCAGCCCGCTACCAGAGAACAATGGCATTGGCAGGGGATCGATGGGGTTTTAAGTCACCCTTTGCCGTAGATAGACTCTACTGATAGATAACTCTTAGGTTTCTGGGAAATTGCGGTGCAGCAACAGAGCAGTTTCTGCCCAGCAGTCCACGTTGGCTTGCCATGTGCTTGTGGAATAGAGTGTCATTACTATCTCTGTTTCTCTTGTTACCACAGCCCTCAATGGAAATACTTGGGAAGGGAGTCTTGACTTCCTGTCTCAGTGGGGTAATTCGTTGATAGTATGGTCAAACTAAAAGTCCACTCTCCCAACAGCCACTTTCCATTTCTTTGTCTTCGCTTCTTTAGCAAATTATGGTGATTGACTCTCGTTTCATCGGCAATTACGATGCTGCCCACGCCTGTTAGCAAAAAAGAAATACCTGGCATGCCAGGGATAGGGCGGATAGGGGGCATTCAATGCATGACTTATAGATTGTCATGAACATGTTGGAGTCAGTTGATTGATATAATCATTGTCATAGCTGAGAACTTATGACATAAGATGGGACACTTGACGTACGACCAGCCCGCGAGCTCAAGTATTCATAGTTAATCAATGAAAATCGTGCCATGCGAATTCGTGCTCATCAGCCTCCAGTGAGGTTGTTCTATAAGATAAGCTGTTAGATAAATTGAATCCACAATTCCCTTCGGTAGTGGCCGAGGTTTAGTACCTTTAAGACCCCCGAATTACACTAAGGGCAGATATCCGGACGCATTGCCCACAGGTTCCAATGCATTTGCGAAGAAGTACGTATCCGTCCTCACTTCACTGTCCTTATGGCTATTGCCTGGCCAGATGACATAGCCAGATGAACCTGGGCCGCGGGGAGCGTTCTGGTGAGCGGCGGTATAAACGTATGGATGCATAGAGGTCATTATTGATTGTCGCTTGTGAAGGTAGAAGATGCAATAGGTACATTCGAGGAGATTTCCTTAATTTTCCAATCTGTTGGGGAAGATCAACATTGGGCTAAGTGAGATATGGTATTCCGAGAAGAAAAGAAAGAACAAGACATGTCTTTTTTTCTCTCAAAAAAACGAACTTTTTGTGGCCTAGTGGTATGATTATGGTTTTCTGTTGAAAACCATATATAGCTGTATGGTAGCAGAAGATGAAAGCATATCATAATATAAACTCGAAGCAAGTCCTACAGCACCAAGGAGGCATTTACTTCTGTCTTGGTTGACAAACCATAGCTATTTACTCAATATCGCTATATTAAAACAAAGCGGAACTCAGGCGAAGGGCTTCAAACATCATTTATCCGTAGATTGGATCAGATAACAGCTCACTAAACCCCCCTCAGCCCTCAAACACCCCGTTATACCCACAATTAAAGTCCAAATTCGCAATCATCTCATCCATGCTAATACCCTTAGCCATAGCGCGAGTATCCCTCAGAACCCTTGCTGTACGCGGCCGACGAATTCCGTCTATTTGCTTGAGAACCTCCTTGACCTCATCACGAGAAATACCAGGACGCAGAAGATGGAAACTATCAGCGTCTTCGATAGCCATGTTCGAGCCTTGACCCTGCATTGGGGTCATTGCGTGGGCGGCATCGCCGATGAGGATTGCACGTCCTTTGTTCCAGTGAGGAAGGGAGTCGAGGTCTTGGAGTTCCCATACTTTCACCTCGGTTGCGATACTGGAAGCAATCACTGTTATAAGTTATACTTGTACACGGGGGTAGGAGCATTTACTCGAGAATCTTGCGAAGAGGGTAGCTAAAGTCGTTAAATGTGTCAACCATCTCCTGTCGATCACCATCCGCGAACCATGAATCCAAGACATGGCCTTTGTCCTGACGAGTGGGAAACAGGCAAGAGAAGTTCATGTAATCGTAATGGCGCAGAGGATATGCGGCAACCATACGTTTACTTCCATCGCCGGCTATCAGGGTAGAGATCCGGCTGTCTGCTGTGCGCGGATCCCACCATTCGGGAAGATAACCCAGTGCCTCTTTGACAGATTCGGCAGAGATGGCGACGCGGTAGCAGGTCATGCCGTTTTTCTTTGGTTGGCAGCTTGAGCTGACAATGCGATGACGGAGACGCGAGTGCACGCCGTTGGCAACTATCTTCCCGTCAGCCGTTTTGCGGTCATACCAATTAGTGAGTAACACACCAACGACTACATCCGCCTGAACACTCGAGCCATTCTTGAAAAAAACAAGACCCTCATCAGGATCAACATCCACAACCGAAGTATCACACACCATCTTTGCCGGACTCCCCTGAATACCCAAATCCTCCGAAGGCGCAGTGGCAAGTCGCAGGAGCTCATCCCGAAAGTCTGACCGCTTCATGGCCATTGTATCTGCTCCATACTTCCCCTTGAAGTCAACCGGGAAGTCCTTCACCAGGTTGCCGTCCTTGTCAAAGGTTCGGTATCCGTGGCATGACACGGCACCGGCACGGTCGCGATCGAAGCCCATGGCTTGGAGAATCTTGATGCCGTTGGGGAACAGGCAGATTCCCTGTCCACCGGTCGCTGTGTCGGGGCCACTGCGTTCGTAGACGGTGACTTCGTGGTGCACGCGGAGGATACGTGCTGCTGCTAGACCGGCGAGGCCGGAGCCGATTATAGCAATTTGGAGGGCCATATTTGGTGTTGTATGTAAATTGATGATGAAGCATATGAGATAAAAAGAAAGAGATAATTATCACTCGATTGTTTCCTCCCATGGCGATGTCACTAGGCCATATTTATAGCCATCGCTCTCGGCCTCAACCTCTGCGCCCAACATCTCATCCCCGAAAAACCGATTCGCTGTTCTGTCGGCGAAGACCATACTTTTGTCAAGCCCGGGCGGACTTCTAAAATATACAAGTTCATCGTTGCTAGAATGGGAATATTCCTCCAGCTTGGCCTCGTATTCTGTACTAGATCTCGGACTCGGTGTTCCGAGCTCGGCCCCGAAGCAGAGCTCGGAAGCCTCGTATCAACCAGTGATCCTAGACGTTTGCTTATTGATGTTGATATCTGAGACATATATGCGTGAGCGAGTCACAGAATAGTCCTTGATTTGTGAAATGGATAAAAGGCACTATATTGATCTCGTGGCACGATCTTGATAATTCTATTTCTTACATCCAATCCGATCTGTGACATCGCCAGCTCAGCGAAAGTACTTCTTTGGTTCCATATTACAAATACCACATCATACTCTTTCCAACATATGTGACCAACATCATTTTGGAATATCTAGCAAAATGACTATTCGTTGGGACAGTCTGATCCGAGTATCCGAAATGGCCTATAGGCTGCCAGTTGGAATGATACGTACCTCATGTATAAGCTGACTCTAGACGCAGCTGAGCTCTCTTACTCCACGAAACGGATGGATTTCTATATCAGGGCAATCATGGGAAATAATTAATAACTTCAGTGGCAACAATGGATACCTCTTCCGGTCACTTGGCGGGGTTAGCAATACCGACATAGATAGTTGGATTTGAAAGCGGGCTAGTTGGACCCCAATTTTCTGAACTATACGATCTCAATTCTGTTGGCTAGTATATCTGGGTAAGCGGGCACCATAGCCATGGCCTCGGTCACTGGCCATAGATTTGCTACGCAACACTGCGCTCTAATGACCTGAATAGGGTGACACTACAGAAGGGCAGTACGCAACATTGGATATGATATAGTCTAGGCAGGGCTGCATACGCATGCCTATGTAAAGAAGATCATAATAGGCACGTAATAGGCAATACCATTCTCAGTCTATAATAAGAGATCCAACCAATTGACAGTACCCGGATCCCTGTCGATATATTATATCATTATAGGGATTCATACCATGTTTAAGCTGATAATAGCGCAACTGGACCCTATGTACTGTAACATGAAACAGATGGCTAGCACTATTCACAGAATCATGCGCCTTGGGAAGCCCGATTTCTATGGGGGTATCCCTGTCACCTGAGTTGGTGCCTTATCTGACAGACTAATCAATCTTAGAAGCTTGTCAGGTCTCCACGTGTCTTTCCCCGGATCATCCATGCTACCAGGCCAGGATACCCTCGATACATTGTAATTGCTATGTTAAACCAGCGTGTTCCTAACAAGTGAGTCCGATGAGTACGTCGTTGGGTCATGAGATGTGCCTTTTTTGACATTTTTGACAGGGAAGATGAGCGGACAAAGCGGGCATCGCGGCTGGCCTCAACAAACAGGCTATAATTTGACCTAATATAACTAAAGGTGTCGAGGCATTTTTTTTTTGTTTCACCCTAAAGGCCTGGGGCGAGGAATCACGAAGGAAGCGAAGGTGGCGTTGGCAAAGGAGCCAAGGCTGAATACAATATTGCATTATTATATGCATGTCCATGCACAGCAAGTCCCATAATTAATAGCAACCAATCAATTACAATTTGCAGATACTCTTAGAATATAGCTACCATGTAAAGAAAAATTAATCGACCAGAATTGCAATTCAAGCCAGAACAGAGATGAGTCAGCAATTGCTTCTGTTAGTGGTTTGTTTAGGGCTGACAGCTCAGCCATGGGTTTATGCAGATACGAGCAAAACAGCAAAGATATGCGAAGCTTAGCCAATACAGATCTGCAACGAATCTGCCTAAAAGGTAATTTCGCCCGTTGACCTATGACTATCTCCAGACCCTTCCGATGGAGGCTGTTCCTCGTCTTAGGCCCGAATACTCTGTCCTTGTTGACTCACACGACCTGTATTCCCATGAGATCTGGCATAATACTTATGCAAGGATAATGCATATGCAGGACAAGATCGTTACTAAACTTAGAAAGATATACCGACTTATTGCCTTGTTGATTCGCTAAGCCGCTTCGTGTCTAGTGTGCACGTGAGATGCAAACCGAGGCCCTGTCGGTGAAAAGGGGATAAACATAGCAATACCAAGAAGAGTAATAAACCCAATACAATGCGATGACAGATTTACGAACAGCTTGAGGCTCAGCGTTGTAGTCAAGCGGTCGCAGAGCTGCCGTCAGAAAAGGTCTATATAAGAAGAGTCCGTCGACATGCCAGTGGAGTTATACCAAATACAATGGATCTCACAATGCTACGGTGGATCATTATGAAGTTTCTTATTCTGGGGCTCTTGGCTCCAATTGCTTTCGGACGTGCCATTGGACACGACCCTTCTCTATGGAACCGAAGCTCCAAACAACCAATCAACCAAACACAATTCGAAAAGTACGACATTAACACCAATTACTACGATTCCTCCCCAAACACTGGCGTCGTGAGAGAGTACCATTTTGACATCATAAATACAACCGCTGCCCCAGATGGCATCGAACGACCCGTGCTTCTGGTTAATGGCCAATTCCCCGGTCCAACAATCGAAGCCAACTGGGGCGACATCGTCAAAGTCCATGTTACGAACCGCATGCAAAATAACGGCACAGGAATACACTTTCATGGTATACGGCAGTTTTTCACTAATCAGATGGATGGCGTCCCGTCGCTGACGCAGTGTCCCGTCGCCCCCGGTGAAAGCTACACCTATGTCTGGAAAGCGACACAGTACGGCACCAGTTGGTACCACTCGCACTTCGCATTGCAAGCATGGGAAGGAGTGTTTGGAGCAATGGTTATTCATGGTCCTACCACAGCGGAGTATGATGAAGACTTAGGCCCCTTAATCCTCAGCGACTGGTCTCATCAAACCGTCGACGAAATGTATCAAACTCAGCTAGAGGTGTTCCTGCCTGCCCAAATGCAGGGGGGTCTGTTGAACGGGAAAAATGTGTGGGTAGAGAATGGCACGACGGTTGGGGAGCGGTACAAGACGACTCTCGCTCCGGGGAAGAGATATCGAATCCGCTTGATAAACGCCGCAGTGCACACGCACTTCCGGTTCTCCATCGACCAGCATAATGTTACAGTCATCACTAGTGACTTTGTGCCCATTGTACCGTTCGAAACCAACGCCGTGCCTATTGATATGGGCCAGCGCTACGATATCATAGTCACAGCAGACCAACTCGCTGATAATTACTGGATGCGCGCGGTGCCACAGTCAATCTGCAGCAACAACACAGCCGGTGATAATATCAGGGGCATCCTGCAATATCAGGGAGCGAAAAATAGCACTGACCCAACGTCAATCCCGTTTGACAACCTCGACTCCAGATGTGAGGATTTCCCTGCTTCGCAGCTGGTTCCCTGGGTTGGTCTCAATGCACAAATCAGTAGCACTGCCAAAACCGTTCACTCAGAGGTTAGCTACAATAAAGTCGGTGATGTCCCACTGTACCTCTGGACACTGGGAGGGGATTATTTCAATAACTCCTGGTCCAGCCCAACGCTGCAGCAACTTGTACCGGGCAAGAGCAATACCGATTTGATGACCGATAAAACAGCAGTGCAAGTCAGTACACCAGATCAATTCGTAATCTTGGTCGTCCAGACATTTTTCAGGGCGCCGCACCCGATTCATCTTCATGGTATGTACCCTTCTCTTTCCCAGTAAACTGCAACCCTAACTCTAACTAACGCAATCCAGGCCATGACTTCCTAATCCTAGCCCAAGGCCTCGGGACATACTCACCCACGAATGTATCCCTGAATACAAACAACCCACCCCGCCGAGATACCGCCACGTTACCTTCAGAGGAAGGTAGAGGCGGGTATCTGGTAATGGGCTTTGTGGCAAATAACCCAGGCGTCTGGCTGCTGCATTGTCACATCGGGTTTCACCAGTCACAAGGGTTCGCGCAGCAGGTTATCGAACGACCAAATGAGATTGAACGGACCTTGGATCGAGGTGTTCTGGACAAGACTTGCAAGGCTTGGGATGAGTATGGGAAGGCTAATCCTTTTGGAGTACGGTATACAGGGAGGAATGGGCCGTATGAGTCGGGGATATGATTCTGGTATCCCTTTTTCTTCTGACTTATAATTTTGTTGTATTTATAGCGATTTTTAGGTATCACTTTACTTCAAATGTATTATAGTTTGTTGTCGTTGGAATGATGTCTTTCATTTATTTTCCTGGTTCGTCTAGGCTTTACTTCATGCCCCCGATATATATCAATGTCCAAGTTTGATCTGTTCGGGAGTCTCCAATATCTCCTACTATCTAGGTAATAGCAAAAAACAGAGCTTGAGACCCACATCAGGATTGCTGCTGGATGTGCCAAATAAAAATATCCACTGAAAGATGAGACATACAGTACCCAGCATCAATATAGATGTTAGATCAACAAAATGAGACTATTTCCTCTGCATAGCATGATGCTCGCCAATCAGGGATAAGACAGATCAAAACCGTACACTACGCCACGGAATACGATATTCGGCATGGGTAACCCGAGTTGATTTGCAAACACTTACTTCTAGTGAGTGTTTTCTCTATCTATATTTGGCGCCTCGAGGAACCCGGGTAAGCCCAAATAGAGGGATTTCATGTATTCAAGGCACAAATACGAGAAGGCGCAACATCGTATTCGGATTTACCAACTACTGGCAGGCCCAAGCGAGGATGACCCTGTCATCACAGACCTGGCTCCAATCCATAACGTTGCTACTACGACCACATGAAGCTCGTCCCTTATCCCATTGGAGTAACCCGTATAGTTATGCACGATGTATGACGTCTTTATCTTCAGGCTTACACCTGCCAAATAAAGGACCGCTCCTGCATCATTGGGCATATCTGAAACATGCTGACTTATGCCCTAATAATTAAGTGGCTCGTAGGTCATGTGCGCTGTCAATACGGGCAACGGATCCCTGACATGGCAGTGCCTGTGCCACATCCAAAATACTTTGGCCATTCATTGCGGTTCTATCCGATCCGGGGTTCCGATTGCCAAGGCTAAGCCCTGCATCCGCCTAATGCCAAGGATTTCCGCTACAAACAATGGAGGAGGCTCTGTCATTAGGGCGTGTATTAAAAGTAAGATGGGCCTCAATAACTTCTTCATTCCTTTCCCAGTCAATCGAATTTAACAGAGCAGTTCAGCATTATGGCATACCGCACCCTTACCCTCCTTTCTCTGGTTCTCTCTTCTACTCTTGCCCAGGATTCCGACCTCGTCGGTTGCAAGGCAGTCTCATGTCCCATTGAGAGCACTGAAGACCGCTGCACTGTTTCCGAAGACACCTTCTTAGGTATTGGCACTGCTCCTATTCCAGACGTCCCGTCGTCGCTCGAAGGCCTGTCCCTAGTTAAGGGCGTCAATCTCACCGTTGAAGAGGGAGAGGCCTCTGAGAATGCCCGTGAGTTCAAATCAGTCTACTACCTCGGCATCCCGTCGGATCTAGAAGTAAATGACCTGGCTGGCTGCGCTGTCTTCTTCAACAATCCACCCGCCAAGACATTTCGGTACCCGACAGAGCTAGCGGGCCCGAGAGACGACAACGGAGAAGCTCAGAATGTTACCGATACCGCTGCTGCTAGCGGGACATGCTCGGAGATTATTGATCAAGCGTGCATTGACAGGCTTACGGAGCGGGCGCGCGACATTATCAACGATGCGGATGGCGACGGTTGCGCACAGTTGGAGGATGAGTTGAACAACAGCTCGTTCGATGAATGCAGCGCTAGCTGGCTTGGAAGTAGCACGCTGGGAAACTTGACCGCTACTCCGCTCGCAAATCTGCAGACAATTAGCGGCTCGCAGAACTCCTCGTCAGACTGTTGGCCCGTTGTGTCCAAGTCGGATAACTTGTCGGAGATTGCAGAGGATACCGCTTACGTATGCTACCTTCCCTGCTTCCCTCCAAGGATAATTACTGACTTCTCAATCAACAGGGAAACGATACAGAAGCCGCATATACGCAGCAGGTCTACAAAATCACCCCCGTGCTGACCGTATTCTCCGGGAACGGAGACAACAATCTGGTGGACGAGACCACTTCCCAGATGACATGCCTTAAGATCGTCAAGGACAGGCCTGCAGAGGACTATGAAGGTGGTGAAGAGGGCGCGGCATTCCAAACCAGACCTAGTCTGCTCGGTGCAGGCGTGGTTACTCTCATGGCAGTCCTACTTGCGGGGCTGTAGAGCTAGGGTGTGGAATATGGATTATTATTCCCTGGGTCTTTTATTATATAACATAGCAGAATTAGAGATATCTTGCATATAGTTATCGTGTTGAAGGTTACCAATGCATTCAGGGCTGGTAATCCTCTCCTTATTGTATCATGCATCTACTCCTCAACGTGGGCTCTATATAAACTTGTGAGTAATCCAAATTCGACGCTTCCTAAAATTCAAATTTGACCAGCATTTTTTACAATGCTGTTCCTTCAGTCTGAACACACAACACGTCGTCCTCCAGATCACCAACGACCAACTTCTCCACCCCTCTATCAATAAGAAGGACCTATTGAATGTAGCGGACGATGCCACAGGGACAGGGTACTGCTTTCAATCCTGTCACATCAACATATTCTAAGCAATCTCGATATTTTCCTTTTTCTGGCTCTAGAATATGATTGGAATAGATCGCTGCTTTACTAGGAGATGTACCGACCAGGTAGCCGCGCTCGTTCCACGGCTTTGACCTGTCTGCAGCCATGCTCCCTGCGGATCACGATCATATAAAGTACTAAACTCACGATGTGACAAAGCCATTCCCAGAGGAGCACCTTGGCCGCTACGATTTAGTGCATATTCAACTCCTCGCAATGGCGATTCGGGAAGAAGATATTGTGACGATTGTTACCGACCTAATTGGTCTGCTGAGTATGTGCCACAGGCCATTTATTCTACGAGAGAGTTTTCTTTAGCTGTGCACTGGCTACTTTACTTTTTTGCTGAGACTGAGACTGAGACTAACCTGTATCTATGAATAGGACCAGGCAGATATCTCCAATAGGATGACATTGACTTGGAGTCGTTTTCCAGCTTTGATGGCATCATTATCGACTTCACAAAACAGGTTGGATATAGTCTGCGACTGACCGAAGTGGTACAAGAAGCTTGTGCCAAGCGTGAACTCCAGGATGTCTTGAGAAAGCAATACAGTGTTGACGCCAAGCCGGAGCTAGCCCAAAATATGCTGCTTTGGTTCAAGAAATCGATGCATTTCCTGGCTCCTGTGGTATGAATGCGCAGTAGGAGAGCCACTAGTGCAGAATTGGCCCAGCAAATGGCATCACAATTAATAGACAAGGTTGACGCAGTACCCGATGCCACCATTCTGTTCAAATTGGGAAGAAAGCAATGATGTTGTCCTGAAAGTAGGTGAAACTCGGGAATGATGCTGTCGAGCCTTAATATTCATTTGACTCTCTAACTATCGGAACGGAAACAACTCAGTTATGTAGTTGATAATTCTGGCCGTTACATACATGCAGGAAATGCGTCGGTCTGTAGACTGTTTATTGCGTCTGTTTGGATCAATCGCATGTCTCTCTTGCTAGTTTCTACCAGGTCTATTTTATGCCATCCAATCAGTACGAGTCTCAAGATATTTATAAGGCTAGTATAATATATTAAGCACCTATTGGTACTGCTGCTCTTCAGGTCTATATCACATTTGTAATTTCCAGAGCTGAAATCTTTGGCCTGTCTCGAAGACCAATCGTATAATTGAATGCGTCACTGCAACATTGCGCGTGAGTTGTTGCCGTTGAAGACGGGCCAGTCGGTAAACCACCTTGGCCAGTTAAAGCAGATAATCCTGAAAGGGTCCAGGAGGAAGGGAGATTCACATATTACCGGATTACACTTATCTCCCATTCATAACCCCTGATTATATGGTCAGGACCAAAAACATATACTAGTTTGGTCCCATATTTAAAGAGTCACTTTTATATGATTTATCCCTAATCACAAGTGATCGACTTGCGCAGAAGAATAGCGGTCTCATATCTACTGACTCCCAGTACTTAATGAACATTTGTGTATTGACTCGCGCATTTGCTCTGAGCCCGAGCTCATTCATATACTTGCTCGTTAATGAGATTCCCACCAACCCCCAATAATCTCCATCACAATACCCAACCCACCCTTCAAAACGGCCAAACAGCCCCCAACTCCTCTCCACTCCCTATAGAAATTGGCCTCGCCGGCATCAAAACCGAAACCAACCTCGCCCACTCCCCACTCTCATTACTCCAAGCATGCATTGTTCCCCTCTGCACAACTGTATCCCCCTCCTTAAGCTCCACCCTCGCCCCATCCCCCAACGTAAGCACAACTCTGCCCTTAGTCACAATAACATGATCGATAGTGACGCTGCGATGTTGCGGCCCAGTGTAGCTCGGTGGGATGTCGTAGGTTGTAAAGAAGGAGCCTTTGTTTCCGTCATCCAAGTCGGGCGGAGATATTATGGTCTGGGATATGTCGGCTGGGAAGGTAGAGCTAGAGAAGAGGGGGTTTATGTGTGTGCCGTCGCCGACGGGGTGCGACTCGGGTTGAGTTTTTGAAAGGATTGTTGTGGTGCCATTGGTGTTGTGGCCCGTTATGACTAGGTTGGTGTCGGGGTGGCGAGGGGGTTGGAGGGTAGACATTTCTGAGCTGCGAGAATGAATTGCAGATATAATAGAGCATGGAGGGACTGTTCTTTGGTATTCTATGGGAACTTGCCGGGTTTAGAAGAGATGGAAGTATATGTCGGAGATAGGAGTTAACGGTGTCAGCTTGTGGACTTCATCGTCAGGATACAATCTGAATGCGTGGATAATTGTGGGTCTTGCTCAAAACAATTATAAATAGTGGGCAGTATGTACGAATCCCTAAATAACTAACGAGTCAGGAGACTTCACCTATACCTCAATCATGTGAGCCATGCCGTCTTGAGTATAGCATATCATTTCTTTGAATGTTAATAGCACATTTTGAGGAATTGATTATCTTAGCTTGAATATTACCAATCACATATGAAACGTATAGATAAAATTTTTGTGCTATAGCGATTATCAAGTTAGGGCTTTATACTCCAACAATGTAACATGAATAACATATTTACCAAACTAGGCAGCATATAACTATCACAACACCTTACATCCAAACTCCACACTTGTCTTTAACCTCGCTGGTTCTCGCCAAAATTGAGTTTGATGAGGAAGACAGAAGGAAGACCAACTGGCTTCCCGTATTACAAAGTTGTCAAATATCAGGGACACCATCACCGTGCATATCTAGTGCTAATCATTTACAGTCCCAGTGTTTCCCGAAGATTCACCACTTCCCTCGACAATTACAAACCCCGAGAACAAAGAGCTAGTCCGCTCCTTGTACCTGTAACGGAGCGCGGGCGCTCTCCAGCGGCATGTTATGTTTGACCACTTTGGCCTGTTTGGATATAGGACAGGAACCCCTTCGCACACACTATATAGCTCAGCGCTGGGAGGCCCAGCTTCTTTTCCTTCCTTCATCATGTTAGCATTTCGTTAGATAGTCTACCAGTAGACTCATATTGTTCGAGACCGTCACAGCACCCACCCCTCAAGGACTGCGAAGATGTTGTAGTCATGCATCACCCTTAGAGCGGCAATGAGAAAAGGGCAAAAATGACGATTGACCGCGCTCAACATGTAGCCTAAGTACAGATGAGAGGACGGGAAACCCTGTTTTCCATACCTTATGATCGTACAGTTATACTTGGTTTATGACTAAAGTGAAAAATACCCCCTCCAATTAAGCTGAACCCGGCAGCAAAGCGGGCAGCCAATAAGCCTCCAGGAAAAGGCCCAAGAGAGATTTCTCTGGCCTTTGCTTGCAGAGCCCGAATAGAAGCCATTACAAAACAAAGGCAAAGATGGCTCACTAAGGAGCTCGGACAGCGATCCCAACAAAGTCAACGAATATACAGGCCACAGAAGGACTGGCAGCTGCAATGGCTCCCAAGCACCTAGCAAGCCGCTATTTTCAACTGAAGTCAGGACATGCAGCTATAGGAGCATACCTACATTGGATCCGGGTCCAGGAGGATGCAATCTGTGAAGGATGCGGTATATCAAGGGAGACAAGACACCATCTTCTCCTTGAATGTCGGAAATGGCGACACCAACGAAACAAAGACCTAGAAACAGACGGAGTCATGAGACCCACTACTGCAGAAGAATACCCACAAGGACGACTTCTAGGAAAGTCCAAAGCTACGGGGGCATTGCTGCAATTCCTAGCCAGCTCTACCCCGGGCGCACCTACAACGAATGACGGAAAGGGCCTGAAGAGGAGGCGAATGGGGACCGGAAGCATTGGAGGAGACAGTTAGAAAAACGGAGGGGTAGCAGGGAGGGTAGCCTAAGCTGAGTTAGCCTAGGCCACACCCATCTTGCTCCGAAACACAAAGAGAGCACCGTGCTCGAAAGCCCTGCGCTTACAGGCGGCTTGGGGCGAGGAAAAAGGATTAGAAAGATTATAGAGGGGGGGCTGCTGCCACAGGAACCTATGGGAACAAGAGGCTGTAGAATAGCTGCTCGCCTTGAGTCCACGAACCATGGTCTGTTATACCTCTAGGGCTCGGTATGGACAATAAACTTGAATAAATAATAATAATAAGCTGAACCCTATTGGTGCCTGACTGCCTGAAATATATGCCTGACATAACGTAATTCACAAGCGAGTGGGCCACACAAGCGAGTGGGCCACCAAACGCGAAACACGTCGGTTTTATATACCCTTCCTTCTTCAACCACCCACCATGCCACCAATTCGCTCTCAAAGCTCTCGGTATTCACTAGAGCAGGAGGGTAGGATCTTATTAGCTATTCAGGCTATTAAGAATCAAGAAGTTAGCTCTATTCGCGAAGCAGCACACCACTTTCAAGTGCCTCGCTCTACTTTACAACGCCGCCTTGCTGGTGACGTCTTTCGCCCTGAATCACGCGCCAATAACCATAGATTGTCTCAAACAGAAGAGGAATCACTTGTAAAATGGATTCTCTCAATGGATTCCCGCGGAGCAGCGCCTCGGCCTACTGCTGTACAAGAAATGGCCAATCTTTTACTCGCGGCTCGTGGATCTACCCCAGTTCAAACAGTTGGCAAGAATTGGGTTACAAACTTTGTGAAAAGGCATTCTGAGCTTTCAACCCGATTCTCAAGGCGCGAAAAGGCATTCTGAGCTTTCAACCCGATTCTCAAGGCGCTATAATTACGAGCGTGCAAAGTGTGAAGACCCAAAAATCATTCAAGAGTGGTTTAATTGTGTGCAACATACAATACTTCAATATGGCATTGACCCTGATGATATCTACAACTTCGATGAGACTGGCTTTGCAATGGGCTTAACTGCAACTGCAAAAGTGATTACAAGGTCTGAATACTATGGTCGGCGACCCCTTTTACAACCTGGAAATCGTGAATGGGCCACTGCAATTGAGGCAATAAGCGCGTCAGGCTGGGCCTTGCCTCCATGCATCATTTTCAAAGGCAAGGTCTTTATTGAGGGTTGGTTTGACAATGTACCAGGTGATTGGCTCTTTGAAGTTAGCCCAAATGGATGGACTTCTGATGAAATCGGGCTTCAGTGGCTCCAAAAAATTTTCATTCCATCAACAATCACTCGTACAAAAGGGAGGTATCGGCTTTTGATCCTTGATGGCCATGGTAGTCATTTGACACCAAAATTCGACGAAATTTGCGATCAAAATGATATTATCCCAATTTGTATGCCAGCACATTCATCACATCTTTTACAGCCACTTGATATTGGTTGTTTTGCAGTGTTAAAGCGATCATATGGTCAGCTTGTTGAAACCAAAATGCGTCTTGGGATCAACCATATCGACAAATTAGACTTCCTTGAGGCCTACCCACACGCACGAATTGAAGCTTTCAAACCCAACACCATCAAAAATAGCTTCACGGCAACTGGCTTAGTGCCTTTTGACCCTGATCGGGTGCTTTCAAAGCTCAACATTCAGCTTCGTACGCCAACCCCCCCTGGAAGCCGGGATAGTGATTGGGAGCCAAAAACGCCTTTGAACTATAAGCAATTACAAAAGCAATCCTCATCAATCAAAGCATTGCTCCGTATGAGATCAAGAAGCCCACCAAGTCCACTTAATACCGCGATAAATCAGATTCTTAAAGCGTGCCAAATCGGTATGCAATCAGCTGCTATTCTTGAGAAAGAAGTAAGTGAATTACGGGCTGCAAATGAGAAACAGAAGCAAAAGCGTACACGGTCTAAAAGGCAGATACCCCATGAAGGTGGCCTTTTAGCTCAGGAGGCTGTTGAGCTAATTGAGACCCCGATTGAGGTCCCAATAGCTCCAGCACCCCCCTGGCCAAGACAGCCTTCACCACCTTTACAGCCGCGTACGAGGGCTTTACCGAAGTGCGGTATCTGTGGAAATGAAGGACATAAGAGAAATGCATGTCCAGACAGACCTAGCTAGCTTGTTTTGTTAATTATATGGCGTTTGGTTGAAATAAATGCATTTACATACTATATATGGGGAGTTGGTGGCCCACTCGCTTGTGTGGCCCACTCGCTTGTGAATTACGTTAACTACCTAAGTTATGCCTAATGCCGTAGTTAATCATCGTACTAGCGCATACCAAACTTACAAGCCGTAATCAAACCAGAAACCACTGCAAAGCAACATTCTAGAAAGAAACACAGGTATATCAAATCAAATAAAGCAGAGATCGCCTCTATAATGACCTAGGGCAACTACAAATAACCAAGAGACTTGACAAGTCATGACCGGCATCATTTAGCAACAGCTCCTGCAGCATTCCATCCCCTCACCACCTCGATGATTCACTCGCCCCCAAGGTGTGCATAATCCGGTGTATACTAACGCCTCCTCTCTTTCCTTTTCTTATCCAATCTATATACTCCTTGCCCTGAAGTGAAATGGCCCCCTCAAAGAAGAGATCCTCCCCCGGGACCCCGAGGAAGCACATCAACGCCCGCAAAATCACAAAGACCTCTCGATCCCCCACCTCCATCCTCGCCCAAGCACGCAAGAACAATCTCATCAAAGCACTAGGAACCAGCACAACAGGCCAATCCAAGAGCCAAGATCGGCAAGCGAAGAAATACTCAAAATACAAGCGCGGCGTCCTCCCGGTTTCGCATAAGCTATTTGAGCAGAATTGTTTTGAAAGGGAGCCATTGCCGTCAGGCTATGTGTTCGTGCCCAAGGGCGATGTCTACGTCACGAGACACTGTCGGAGTAAGACGAGGGAGGCGAGGAGGGTGGTTTATTTAGTTTATGTGAGTTCCCTCCTCCGCTATATGTTTAATATGAGAAAGGGCAGTGGTAATGGCAACAGAATAATGCCGCAAAACGAACCCTTGGCCTCCGCGTCCCCGCCGACATTTACTCCTCCGTCCTCCACTCCGCCGCTGCAACCGCCTCCTCGCGCGCAAACACCGTGCACGCCCGCGATGCGAAAGATACCTCGCGATTTAAAGAACTCCTCCGCTCACAGTTCCCATTAATGCCGGCAGACTCACTAGAAACCATCATCAATCATGCGTTCCTGAAGGGGTCTGGCCGTGTTGGGCGGACAGGGATGAAGTCCGATGAACATAAGGCGGATTTGGCTGTGGAAGCACATATAAGACATATACATACGCCATATGAGGAGTTTCTGAATGCGGGTGCTGACCGGAGGGAGGCGAGGGAGGCAGTTTGGGAGACGGTGAAGGCTATTAAGATGGCTTGGGAGGGGGGCGGGAGGGAGGTGACGCCGCTTACTCTGCGAGGGAGGACGGACTCTGATATGGATTTGGAAATTATTGAGGTGGAGGACTAAGTTTGGAAACTTGTTTTATACGGTTTGTCGATTCTGGATATGACATGCCCAACATACAACATTAGAGACACAGCAGGCCTCAACAGCCTTGCATTATGATTACGACTTTTTACGACTGCATAGAAGAGCGATATCTACGCGAGTACAATGATATATGGAGATATTCAATATAATAGTGCATTTAATAATCAAAAGCCAACGTGATCCATCACCATGGGTGATGACTTACCAGTCTACCAACACTCAAATCCTCCACAAGTAACTAGCATCGTACAACAACAATTCCTCGCAGGAGAGAAGCCCAATATACGAATCCTCCGCTGATTTACCACGTTGAATTTTTGAGACCTGGGGAAAGGGCCAACATTCGAATCCTCCTCGACTCACCTTTGAACAATCTGGATGAAAATCGAGACAAAATCTGAGAAACACGCACCTGGATCAACTCATATAACAACTGTCAGCGCATCAGACAGAAATCCCAGGACCACGAATCAAGAACACACTCACAGCATGAACAGCAGCCAGTTCATGGACCAGGGTCCAGCCATCCATGGGATATTAATATCCGCACCCTGAACCTGCATATCCAAGAGCGTATAAAGCCACTGCTCGAGAGAAGTCAGTACATATTCCATCTCATCACCTTCACCAGTCATGGTAATGGTATCGGCCTTAAACTTAGCGTCACACCTAAGCACCCACGAGCCGTTCTGGACATTGAGCGCCGTAGAGTCAAACTGGCAGTTGGTGAGTTTATCCAGAACAGTATTACGAGCCCTGTTGAGGACCATCCAGATATGCTCGCGGGGAGTTCCCAGCGGCAGTCCAACGAAAATCGTATACTGAAAGTCAGGCTCTTCCTCGAGTTCCATGTCGCCATTGCCGTCGCTGTCAGGTTCTGAGTCGCTGAAGCTGTCGTCGCCATCGTTGCCTGTGACGACACGGCCCAGAGCCCGGTTCCCAGAGGCGCTCCAGCGTGAGTAGCAGTTGGAGTCGTTGGCAGCGGTTCGGCGGGTATTGTTGTGGGAGCTCATGGAGGCTGCGTATTCGGGGGAGTAGGGGATGTAGACGGTGTTTGGACGAATGCCGGTGGGAGTGTTATCCATTTCCACGTCAGCTAGTGCGATTGGCATCTTGTTAGTGGAGAGGTGGTGGTACCTTTTTGGGTTGGTTAGAGATAGGTTGACAGAGATTGTTGATGATGAGAGATGAAGCTGAAATTATGGTCATATTTATACCTTGAGATGTTACTACGAAGCTTCATTGTAGAAATGTTACTGGTATTCTCCATGGGCATTTTTTAAAACCCCAGCCAGACAATAGAGGATGAGAGAGGTTGAATGGCATTGTCACTATCGAGAATACTCCATCTACATTGTTGATTTCTTTGTACTCTGCCTCAAGTTTCAGGCATTCGCCGTGAGCCTGCTGCCTGAAACAAACAGGTGAGCCATTAAAAGGAACTGCGTTTCGCTTCAACAGCCCCTGCTAGTCCATTGGAAAAGGCCCCATAGTTAGCAGGTTACTCTCTCCGGCATGGTGTAATGGTAAACATCGCCGTCTTTCACACGGCAGCTCGGGGTTCGATTCCCCGTACCGGAATTTTTTTATTTTATTTTACTTTTTTTTCACCAGACAATCGAGGTTTTCTCCATAATTTATTGATGTCAACAAAAAGACCAAATCAGCCCTAAGGCCTGGCCCTAGTTTTATTCCCCTTCAAGTAACTACCCCACGGCTCGTCCTAAACAGGTAAAGTCTATATCTCTAGTTCCTAAATAGCAACCAAGCCGATGGTCTCTTGGCATCGTGCCTAAAGGGGCAATGGCCGGTTTCTCTTTCATCACTCGACAATCACATAATGGAGTGTCGCGGACAGCCTCTGGGCATATAAAACATCAATTTGGTCTCTGAAGTTTGATAAAAGAGGCAAATTCCATATCTATTAATCTCTCAAGAAGCATAGCTATCACCACGGCTGATCAACACCGACGGATCCCCATTACACCCGCCGAGACCCAATGAATATCATTTAGCCTCAACCCTCGTGTCTTAATATATCCCTCCAAGAATACGAGAAATCTTGGCTATCCTCTAACGCCCTCTACTCCTATCCACCTGCTTCTTAATTATGTCTCCCTTCGCCGTCAAATCCCGCAAATAGTCGCCACGCCACCATGTGGGCGGAAAAACGACATCAATCCCGCCTGTACGCATACAAACCTCGTTTTCGGAGACGGTTCCTCGTGCTAGCCTTTATCGCCGCTTGCTATATCTTTTTTATTTACTTTCCCGAGCCTGAATTACCGAAGAAAAGGACACAGGATTTCACCAGTCCTAATAAACTCGCGCCCTTGTACGAGGAGAAATTCCCCAAGTTTGTGCATACTTCGCCGTTCCGGAAGGATCCGGATTTCGAATATGAAGCCAGGATAGATGCTATGCTGCAGGAGGTTGAGGGCGCTGCGCTCGCGGAGAATGGGGGTGATTATGGTGCCAAGGATCGCATTTGGCAGATCATGCCGGAGGTGAAGGATCGAGGGTCAGACTCGAAGATGCTAGAGAACAAAAATAATGGTTGGGAATACACAGTGAGTCCTTTTGTCTCGTTTGTATCGGATTTACTTGCTGAACTGTATAGCCCGCGACAGATGAATGGGCTGCTTCCTTCGTCGCCGATACACTATCGAAAGCACCGGAAATCGCAACTATGTACCAAGCATATCCATACAACGTCCTACGCGCAGACCTTCTCCGTTACCTAGTGCTATGGTACTATGGTGGTTTCTACGCAGATATGGACGCCTTCCCTGCACGACCCATCAAGCAATGTCCACCACTTAACCCGCTTTTCACCGAAGAAACCAACAACCACCCCAATGTCTCGTTCATCCTAGGCGTTGAAATCGACGAACCATACGTCGCGCCCAAATTCATGCGCAAATGGCACTGGAGCAGGCCATACGAATTCATTCAGTATACTATGTATGCGCCGCGCCGTTTCAGTCCCATTCTCCGAAAGACCATAGTCCGGGTGCTCGCACATAGCAAACAGCACATGGACCGGTGGACCATCATTCCACCACGATATGACGAGCCCACGGTTCTGGAAATTAGCGGTCCCGGTGTCGTCACAGACGCCGTCCTCGACAGTCTCTCAGAGACACTACCCCCGACACACTCGCTAGTCAACTTATCCGTCGAAGCGGACGAGGGAGTTGGCGATTTGCTCTCGTCCTCAGGCGCGATCCAGAGGCGCGTAACATGGGTGCCGTTTCATAACATCAAAGAGCCTGTATATATTGATGCATCAGAGGCTGCGGATGGAAAGGCCATGGGTGGACTTGGTGTCCTCCCTGTGAGTGCCTGGGGAAATGGACAGAGACATAGTAATGCGGAGGGATTCCGGGGGCCGAACGTTTGCATAAATCATCGATTCGGGGGTTCTTGGAAGATTAATTGGTGGCATCGCATGTTTGGTTAGTATATATTTGCATAGTACATAGCATTTACAGGATTGTTTCAGACATTGAAATGCATTATGTCAACAGTATCACCTTGCAGCACTCCCAATCCGGTAATAGGGCAATATCGCATAACCCCACGCTATACCGCATCCAGCCGGAAAACTCTCCGCAGCTCAGTCTCGTCCTAGCTCCGACTACTCAACATTAACTTCCACTCAACCTCAACACTCACAATGGAAGGAGCCGATATCGTGGAGTCACCGCGCAAGCGACAGAAGACCGACAACGACAACACTTCCTCCGAAGAAGTCGCCGTCGCAGCCAAACCCGCCGCCGACGATGCTCAATTACAGAAGGAAATCGAGGTTGGGATTACGGAGTTTGTTAGCCCGGAGAATGAGGGATTCTCGGGGATTTTGAAGAAGAGGTACGTATTATCTAAGAAAAAGTGTATGGGGTTGAACTGATGGTTGTTTGACAGATATACCGACTTTCTGGTTAATGAGATCTTGACTACCGGTCAGGTTCTGCATCTGAAGAACATCGCGACGCCGGAGCAGAAGAAAGAGAAGAAGGATATCAAGCCCGAGCCAGCGGCTGAGTCTGCTACGGAGAATATCGCGCCCAAGGCTGAAGAAGAATCCAAACCTGCCGAAACTGCGCCCGAGCCCGCCCCCGAATTCAACCTCTCCGACGAGGACCGCACCACACTGAACACCTACTTCGGCGAAGATGCTACGGACAAGATTGTTGCCCTGCACAAACGGGCGCAAGCCTCCAATGCCCGCCCCAGCGCATTCGACAAGATCGCTACCTCCGTCATGACCGACCGCGACCAGCGAATCCAAGTGCACCAAGCCATCCGCCGCGTTTTCAACTCGCAGCTCGAATCCAGTACAGACGGCGAGGGTATGATGTGGATCTCTGCAGCACCGAACCGCAACAAGCGGAATGGACAGGGTGGACAGAATGCACGCGGTGGACGGGATGCGAATCGGAATAACTGGCAGGAGCTTGGTGGTCCGTATTTGCACTTTACGATTTACAAGGAGAACAAGGATACCATGGAGGTGATTTCGTTCTTGGCACGAACATTGAAGACGAATCCCAAGTCGTTTCAGTTTGCTGGGACGAAGGACCGGCGGGGTGTGACTGTTCAGCGGGCGTGCGCGCATAAAGTGAAGGCGGAGCGACTGGCCCAGATGAACAAGACGCTGCGCAATGCGAGACTAGGCGACTTTGAGTACCGCGAGCACGGACTGGAGCTAGGCGACCTCAACGGCAACGAGTTCGTGATCACACTCCGCGAACTCGACATCCCTGGCGTCGACCTAAGCGATCGCGAAACAGCCACCTCCAGAGCTAACGACCTCGTCGGCTCCGCCCTCCGCAGCCTTCGCGAACGCGGTTACTTCAACTACTACGGTCTCCAACGCTTTGGAACATTCTCCACGCGCACCGACACCATCGGTGTGAAAATGCTCCAGGGCGACTTCAAAGCCGCCTGCGAAGCAATCCTTCAATACCCCCAACACGTCCTCGCTGCAGTGCAAAACCAATCCCAGGACGCAGGAAACATCAGCACTGACGACAAGGCCCGCGCCCAAGCAATCCACCACTTCCAAAGCACAGGCAAAAGCGCAGAAGCACTCGAAATACTGCCCCGCAAGTTCTCCGCGGAAATGAACCTCATCCGCCACCTCGGCCGTTCGAAGAACGACTTCATTGGCGCGTTGCAGATGATTCCCCGCAACCTGAGACTCATGTACGTCCACGCGTACCAGAGTCTGGTCTGGAACTTTGCCGCAGGCGAAAGATGGCGGTTATACGGCGATAAGGTCGTCGAGGGAGACCTCATCCTCGTGCACGAACACCGCGAGAAAGAAGGCGACGCCTCGACTGAGACCAGAAACGAAGTCGACGCCGATGGCGAAGTCATTATTATCCCCGCAGCACACGACTCCGCCCGCGCCGCAGATGACCAGTTCACGCGTGCGCGCGCCCTCTCCGCTACCGAAGCTGCGTCTGGGCAATACACAATCTTCGACATCGTTCTCCCGCTTCCTGGATTCGACATATCATATCCCGCGAACGCAATGACGGATTTCTACAAACGCTTCATGGGCAGTGAGGAGGGCGGAAACCTAGACCCATTTGACATGCGCCGTAAATGGAAGGACGTCAGTCTTAGTGGGGGTTACCGCAAACTGCTCAGTCGGATGGGCGAGGATTACTCGTTCGAAATAAAGACGTATGAGAAGGACGATGAGCAGTTTGTTGTTACGGATTTGGTGGCTGCCACTAATCCTGAGTCTGAGAAAACTGAGGTGAAGACTGGGGAGGAAGAGACTGGACAAGGGAAATTGGCTGTGGTGCTCAAGTTCCAGCTTGGCACGAGCCAGTATGCTACCATGGCGTTGCGGGAGTTGATGAAGGGGAGGGCTAAGGCTTATACGCCTGATTTTGGAGGCAGATAGATAAAGCGTGTAACCAACTATATAGTCATGATGAGCGAGAGTTTAGATTATAAAATAAAAGTTTGATTCAACATTAACTTCATTCTCATACGTATTCATTGCTCAAATTAAAACAAACGCATCAATGCCCGCCAAGCTCCCGATGACCATGACCATGACCATGTCCATGCTCATCAATCGACGAAACAGAAGAAATGACACTCGCACGATCCGCATCTGCATCCGCATCTCCAGCCTCATCACCATTGATATCACGTCGCCGCCCGCTAACCCTCGAAATGTCTGATAACGTATCATCGGGATGATTAAACGGTGACCTGGAGCGCGGGAATGCCGCACCTGCACCCGCTGACGGGGGCGATGGCGAGGGAACTGGGTGCTCAGGTGTTAGAGCTAATCCGATTCCCATACCTGGGTCATTTGAGCGGTACGTTTCAGGGAGAACCGGTGCTGAATTGTGTTGTTGCGGGAGAGGGCCGTCGAAGGGTGGTTGCAGGTTGTGTGTTTGGGACGGCATTGTCCAGCCGTCATTGTTTGACGGGACTGAGGCTGGGTCGGTAGCTGCAGCCATTTCCATTTGCGGGGTTGCTTGTCCATGTTGGTTTCCTTTTGGTATGTATACTTGTGAATTGACAGGTGTATTTGCTCCTCCTGTTGCTTTGCGTTGCTTGCGTCGGCGCATGAACAGGACTAGGAAGACGAGGGCTGCTATGAGTGCTGCGCCGCCTACGGCAACGGGGATGGCAATGGCGATTTTGGTGTTTGTTCTCAAGCCGCCGCCGCTGCCGCCGCCGTCGCTGTTGGAATTGTCTGTGGTACTGCTAGTAGTATTGCCGTTTGCTGAAGATGTTGTAGGCGTGACGTCGTTGTTGTTACTGGCAGTGCTTTCATATGGTGATACGTTAGACGGTGATAACGCCGCGGGTGGTGCTTGTGATGTGGAAGTACCGTAGTACATCCCATCATCGTAGCTTTGAGCTCCATTCGGGTCTTTCCCTGAATCTGGCAAGCCGATGCCGTCAGTATCGGCAGCGTCTGGGCGAGCTGCGAATCGTGAGTATGGATCGATAATCCGGATGAACATCCTGCTATTCTTGGGGGAGGTATTCTCACGATCAAATGAAGGCATGTGGTATGGTTTTCTTTGAATAAAATGCGGGTTCCGTTGCCAATAAGACCAGTCGTGAACAAAGAAAAGTATGCTGAAAGAACTCTTAGCGCTCGAAACGAACAAGGCACACTCGTGTTGCTTACTCTGGATATTCTATCACAGATGGCAGGAGAATCAAACAAAGCTAGTTTCAGTCATTAATATCCGGCCATCTTGGGCATCAATATAAGAAAGTATCAGGATGGAAAACTCGAGATGCACCCCTCAGTAAGAATCAAACAAGGTGAGAGGAGAGGAGAGGAGAGGAGAAAAGAGTAAGCACGCGGCTCAAGCAAAAAAAAAAAAAAAAAAAAAAAAAAAAAAAAAAAGACAATAAAAAAGCACACAAGGCTGAGCCGCAGTAGCGTCAAGCACTATCTTACGGCGCAGACGATGCTGATTGCTGGATTCGTCCATATTGAAAGGCCGGAGGGGGAGATCAGCGAGCATCAGCCACCATAGCGGACACAAACACGAGCATGTAGCACATGATACAGTAATATAGATTATCCTGCTCCAGTATCAATATAGCAGCAGGTTAAGCGACTCTCAGACTGCGCAAGTTCATATCTGATGCTGGTTATCGCCCGGAGTATGCGCCAGAGTACGCGCCGGAGTACACATTCCCCTTTGGTAAAGAGTGGTAAAGCGGATGCCGTTGCGTACGCGCCCGAGTAGTGGAGGTCGGGTTATACTTGGAATGGAGTAGTGGGCGCATTAGCCAGAGACGGTGCCATGATTTTGCAGATATCACATTTTATCTGTTGCTGAAGGATTTAGTGTGGGATTGTCAGTTTCGGCATTTTGCAGGATTCCTGCATAGCGATATGGAGTACGGATAGAGCAGATAAACCAGCACTTTTCTCTATATCGATTCTAACTGTATCATTTTGTACCCCAGAGAATGGAAGTAGAGTGTAAAAAAGGTGTTCCTGGATGAAGCGCCCCTGGTAACAATGCCTGGTAGCGAGACGCTTGCAGAAGCACGTGATTGCGGAGATTGGAGATAAGAGCGGAGACGCTCGACGTTCAACATCATCCAACCTACACCATTGTCTATGGGCTATACCACCCTGAAACGCTTAAAATGAGTGGTTTCAAAGGTATCATGAAAGAGGGCTGGCACCCAAAAGGCCGCGATGGTGGAAAAGAAAGCTGGAGAAGCGATTTCAAAGGAATCAACCAAGTGGTCTGTTCATACCACCATCACTACGGGAACGGCAAATACTAATCTTCATGCAGGCAGGATGGATGGGAAAAGGCAAAGACCCAAGCAGCGAAAAATCAGATCACACCTCCACGCCGCTATCCTCGCTTAAAGACCCCTCATCGTTTGGACCTCCTCCGAAACATGTAAAGTACCACGGCCCGTCCGCACTCCCGAACGAAACGACTCCGGATCGCAGTGGTCTAGGCGCTCCGCTACAACAAGAACAGATTTATCAACAGCAGCAACACGAGGTGGAGATTGAGGCACGCGAAGCAGAAGAACAAGCGGCGGAAGAAGAGAGGCGGGCTGCACCTCCGGCACCATATCGGGCCAATACAACGGGACTGAGGACAGATCATCTTCCACCACCGCCGAAGCGCGTGGGTTCCTCAATCACAGGGAGTTCTGCGTCTTCGGGAAACTCGAACTCAAGACCTCCACCCAGTCTTCCGCCGCGCCTGCCTCCGCGAACGAATTCCACCCCCGTACAGTCTCCGCCTGCATACTCGCCGATACCACAACCGGGACTAGGACCAGCGTCGGAGGGATATGTTAACCAAAGTGCAACATCTCGACTGGCAAATGCCGGTGTCTCCGTTCCTGCTCTTGGAGTGGGGGGCGAAAGTCAGGATCGGCGGAGCACTGCCTCACCAGCGGGGACCCCTGTCAACGAGCTGCAGAGCCGTTTCTCTCAGATGAAAACGGGATCGTCTTACGGTCGACCTGCACCCCCTCCCCCGCCTGGACGAGGCACGAGTAACCCGGCACAGGATACTCAAGATACCCCACCGCCGGCCACAGGCTCTGGGGGATTCAGGTCTACGATCAGCAACTTCCGCGACCAACATGCGGACAAGATCGATGCCGGCAAACAAAAGATGGGCAACTTCCGCGAGCAACATTCAGACAAGATCGATAGCGGGAAAGAAAAGATGGGCAATTTCCGCGAGCAACATTCAGACAAAATCGACACCGGGAAAGAGAAGATGGGCAATTTCCGCGAACAACATGCAGACAAGATCGATGCCGGCAAACAGAAAATGAGCGGGCTATCGAAGCGAATTGGTACATATGTCGAGGGGCAAAAGTCTCAGCCTAGTCAACGACCAGCACCACCACCTCCGCGGGCATCAGCATCATCCCCGTCCACATCAAATGCGGGGGTGGAGAGCATAGCTAAGAAGAAGCCGCCTCCGCCGCCACCAAAACGTGCGGATATCCGGGCTCCGTCGGTCCAAACGCCGTCTCCTTCGGGACCTCCCCCGTTGCCGCTCAGTTCCAAACCTAGGATTGTATGATATCGTGTAACTTTATGGTTGTACTTGTATCAATAGAAGATGTGCACTGCTGAATGACCCTAAGAACACGAGTAGTCACTGTACAACTGGTTTGTAGCTGTAGTCGCTATTTCTGCCTAATTGGGACCAGGTCACGTGCCATCCGGGGTAAGTAATCCGGAGATGAGAAAAAGAAAAAAAAAAGATGCAGGGATAACATCTTATCTGTATGAAGTAGGAGTAATCAATCAGTAAATCTATACGGAGTATTTCAATAAAAGTGTTCTTCCACTCTGGTATGTAGTAGTATGTATCAAGATTCACAAGATGTAAATCCTAAATCGTTGGGAGCCGAGGTTGGAAGGACTGCCAATCCCCAACAAATGCACCGCGCGGATCCACCACTCAAAAAAAAAAAAAAAAAAAAAAGCCTGAGGCTGAACGGAAAAGGCAACACATTATTCAGTCAATCTACGAATACTCTGTAGTTCAAAATTGGGTCAGCTCTGCCTTTTGTTGTCTCCAGGTCCGGTAGGCCAGCCAATTGGGCCTCATTCTTTCTGTATAGCACAGCTTTGGCTGCGGATCACCGCTATAAAATTCCTCCACCCTCCTTTTTCCTCTTCCTTCTCTCTTTTCTCTCTATTCCTCTCGACTAGCTCAGTCCAAAAAAGCACACAATGTTCGACTACAACCTGGTCACCCCGTCGGGCCCGGCCACCGTGCGCATTGGTCTCCCTCATGCCTCCCTGCTGAAATTTCCTCCCAACGAACTCCCCGCGACTCTCCCGGCACCACAACTCGCTGAACCCACCTGGTACCAGCCATTCAACATTCCTCCCGAGCTCTATGACCAGCTCCTCGACGTCCGTGTCCCCGTTACCATTGCCTCCCTCTATGCCATCACCGTCGTGCTGCTCAATCGCGTGAACAAGAGTCGCGGATACAAGCCATACGCTTTCAGCCAGACCCGCTGGTTCAAGGTCTTCGTCATCCTGCACAATGTCTTTCTTGCTATCTACTCCGCTTGGACCTTCGCTGGTATGGTCAGGGCCTTCCGCAACTCGATGCCCGGCTTCAATAACCCCGACGGGCTAGTTGGGTGGGCGGATTCGCTGTGCAAGATCGGCGGTCCTCGTGGATATGGCAATGCCGCGCTATACAACATTACTACGGAGCAATGGACCATCCCCAACCCGCAGTTCTCGTTGGTTGAGGGTGGTATCCCGGATCCGCTTGATGATGGCCGTCTGTGGAACCAGGGTCTTGCCTTTTTGGGTTGGATTTTCTACCTCTCCAAGTTCTACGAGGTTTTCGACACGGCGATTATCCTGGCCAAGGGCAAGAAGAGCTCGACTTTGCAGACTTACCACCATACCGGTGCTATGATGTGCATGTGGGCTGGTATTCGCTACGTCGCGGCCCCGATCTGGATCTTTTCTCTGGTCAACTCATTCATTCATGCGATGATGGTACTTTCCCTTGGAGATTCCCCTTGTTGTGCCTTAACTGACCGTGTGGCTGCAGTACACCTACTACACCTTTACCGCTCTCCGCATCCGTGTCCCCGGTATGATCAAGCGGTCCTTGACTACGATGCAAATCACCCAATTCCTCTTTGGAACCACCATGGCTGCCTCGTATCTGTTCGTTAGCTACACCCTTCCCTTCTGGGATGCGCATGAGGCCAGTGCTGGTGCTGGTATCTCTGGGTCGTGGTTGAAGAAGCTTGGCTTGGCCTCCAGTCAGCAGCAGCCCATTGGTGTCCCCAGCGTTGGTTCGAAGCTCCCAGACGTCGAGTACCGCGTGGTCCCCTGTCTGGACACCACTGGTCAGACTTTCGCCGTTTCGCTCAACGTCTCGTATCTTCTGCCTCTGACCTACCTCTTCGTCCGATTCTTCGTCCGCTCCTACCTGTACCGCAAGGAGCCTAGTGCTCCCCAGCCTACCCACATGCACGCCGCTGAAAAGGCCGGTATGGATGCTCTGAAGGGCGTCAGCCGCGAGATCCAAAAGGCTGTCGAGGTCAACGGCGAGACCAGCGAGACAACCGAGGCCACCGAGGATGAAGCAGCTATCAAGGCCCAGACTAGCAATGGCAAGGCTCCTATCGCTGTCAACAACCAGCCCAAGGACTCTCCGATCAGAACGCGCTCTTCGGCTGCCAAGAAGGCTGCGGGTGGTCGCCAGGAGGGATTCTCGCCTGTTAAGAAGGGAGTTAAGAAGCCTGAGGGCGGTGCTGGTAGCTCTCCTGCGCAGACTACGAATCCTTACGGGGTTTTACAGTCTTAGTCGGTTAGACGGTCTCATTTGCATTCTCGCTCTTTCATACCGTGGGCTGATTCTCACCACCCGTCGGTCACCAAAACTAACACCAAAACAAACCACTTATCATCATGAGTGATGACAACACGAGAGCAGTGATGTTTCGTTCCGATAACACGATTACCACGTTTTCCCTTTTCCCGTCTATTTCTATTTCCATTGTTATGCTACATTTCCCACGGAGTTATCAGGGTTGGTTGCTTCTTGCACGTTTGCAGCTGTTTGTAAATATCTTATGTGTCGCTTGTCTCTGGGCAATAGGACTGGTGATGCTGGCAGGTTGGATGTGTATATTATAGATAATATCTAGATATCATTCAGTCGGAAGACTGGATTCGCGCTGTGACTAGAGTCATTGGTCGTCATCCATATTTATTGCCTGGACCTTTCGAGAACAAGAACACTCGTAGTGAAGTATTTTTACCTTGCAAGGCCAGTTTGTATATTTTCCAGGTTCTCAAATACATTGATTGTTTTGAGCTCTACCGGTCCAGTGTCGCTGCAGGGTATTTGCGGTGGATGGAGAGGATCATTAAGATAAAGATGAGGTATTAATTCAATACAAGCCCTTTGCTGGTGTCAATGGTGTTTACTTGCTTTTTCTCTAAACTACAGGCAAGGTATTTTCATCTACACCCACTTCCTATCTACCGTGATCTATCTACAATGAAACATACTGGCACGTAGCCTACAGCCACCTGTTACTATTTTGGCATTTTACATCTCGTGGAGAGATGGGCTATTGACCCGTGATCCTCTCGCCTACACACATGCAAAATGACCCGCATGTATATATGAATTCCTGGACAATGCACAACGGTAACTCGTTGGCAATAAGTCGAGAGATAACCGCGAGAAATTGATCAGTTTCCAGAGCCTCCTCACATCCCACAGGATTCAGATCCGATCCCCGAAGCATTTCGCTTCACTGTCCAGAAAGCCAGGGGCTAAATGCATACGATCTTTTGGAAATCTGGTTTCCGTATGAATCTTGTTGGGGGGAGAATGTATTTGGTGTGGGTTTCAATAGTGCCCCAAATAGCGGTGCTCCCAATGACGATGCAGCTCTAGGCCACAGAAAGTGTGCCGTATTCTTGTCCTTGGCCTTTTCGCCCTTGAATTGAAGGGTTTCTGAGTCGGACAATGAAGAAGTCCTGGCATGTTTCAGGGCTTTCATGAGTCGAGAAGCAGGAACCAACGTGGCTCGTCACCTCCGAAAGATACCGCACAATCCCGGTTGGTGCTTGGAACTTTCTATTGCGCCTCGTTCACCCGACAAACCTGAACCTCAAAAGAGCTGGGCCCATTATGGATTCTACGCCAAAGTTGGTAATCGTAAAGTGACGTTTGAAGCCGATGAAAAGTTCTATTTTTGGAACCAGATCGACATTGGCATTTGCGAGGTCCTGACTCTTAGGGATTTGGGTATTATCATGAATATAGTGAATACCAGAGGATAGAGGGCTTTGAGGTATGGGACACTTTACAAATGACTACTTGAGCTTTTATTGCCGTATTCACTGCCAACAGGATTAATGGTTGTACTAGCACTTCCGTCTCAGCCCCATGTAATCTACTTGCTACCATTTGCAAAATCTATCTGATCCATAACCACGATTACTCTGCACATTCTGAAGGAACTATGTTTTTTTAAGAAGCTTTACGAAGCTGAAGTTACAAGGCTGCAAGATCTGTCTTGTCCTTAGCGGAGAAGTGCCTCGAGGCAATCTCAAGCTCTGAAACCCGAGCAATTTTTTTTCTTAAGTCAAGAACAGATAGGTAGGTTATGCGCTCTCCTCGAGAAGATAATTTCAGATGTGGGGTGTCAACCCGGATTAGACTTACACTTGGTATACAAACCAGGTTGGCTTTGCTTCGAGGCAGACTGCTCTGTACCATGGGGGTTATTAGCGAGCAAGAAGAGGCCTTGAGATTTCTGGATAATGTTTTCAGAGCCCAGCCACTTATGGCATGATGGCAGACCAACAGGAGGAACTTGGCAAGATCAGGGACTACGTCAAGGCACTTAGGTGAGTGTTGGCCCTCAATGCTGCTCTGATCTCTCACGGTCATTCCCTGACAGTCCTGGTTTTATCATACAGCTTCCCCAATGGGAGCGAATTCCGAAACACCGTCCTGAAGCCAGACAAGCACATCCTCCGGGAGCTAAACGAAGAATTGATTGAAGGATAGAATCAGGCTTCCGGGCGAAGAAGTTATGACATGGGGCCATGTCATACTGGAGCCTCTAGGACCTCCTCGGGCTATTACTTTCTTCCTGACCACAGCACCAGCAGGTGCACTAAGCACAACTTCTACTTGCCATTGGCGGCGGTGTTTGCGCAGTGGTGTAAGCAGCTGGGCTCGAAAATTCCCTTCATGTACGGCTGCATGTGGGACAAGGGAGCCGGAAATGGTGACTTCTTCTCTGGGGTATCGTTGGATAGATATGCGTTCAATCCACAACTGACTGGGGCTTGGGAGCAAGAAGTTGGAAAGGCCAAATTTTCGCTGGTAGGCGATGAGTGTCTGGCTCCAGGGCTGACCTTTGGCCAAGAGCCCTCCCATCGACCAACACGGACCTGAACCAACGCGCTTCGGCAACTGCACTGAGAGCTATGGTCTCTTGGGGTTTCTCTCGCAAGCACTCCAAGGATATCCCCCCGCTCGCCTCGTTTTGTTTTGTTTATACTCATTCAACAGATGGCAGAGGCCTGAGTATTATCACGACAGAATCTGGCCATTTCTGAAAGACCACCCTTGCTTCAATCGCAAAGATTCGATCAATACTTACATTGTCAAGGCAAATTTCGACAAGTCGGTATGATTACCGGCTATCTTGACGCTTATGAAAAAGGCATGGGAACTATGCACTAGCTGCGAGGAAGCAATTGGTGCATGTACTGGTATTGCAATCTTGTCCGGAATGATGTTAATTTGACAACAATCGTTTGTTCGACAAGTTACCGGCGATTTAATTTGAAGCACATAGGTCGTCGAGTACGATGCTCCATACACCCAGCACAGGGTGGGTGGTTCTTCTCCGCAGCATATCAATATCCTGACTAAATGGAAGTAGATATGTTGCTCTTTATGGAGCATATAGTTCAGTGTTTTATCGCAATACCTTCGCTGGGGAAAGTCCCGCGAGATCAACAAACAAAAGAATTCAGAGTTGAGGGGGGAAACCACCCTACCTGGGTACAAGTGCGAGAGATGTCCTCGAAGATTAAAAATATTCTAGCAATTGCTCCAACCCAACAGCAGCTAAAATGTTCAATTAAAAGGGACCCAGTCTGAAACCTTTTCATCGAGCAACAACACGGCAGATGGAAAAACATTTGACACAAGAATATCCTGGCAAACTGTCAGCTTGAATACAGGTTATTTTCGGCAAGGCATCTGTTACCCAAAAGACATTAGCAGGTAAATGCACTGCTTTTCAAATAATGGTTGTGATCATTCGAGAGAATTCACAACTAGCAGAATACAGGGCTTCTTGCTTGTTTTTCTTGGCCGAGTATCTGTCAGAAGGGCTCCCTTTCGGAGGCCTCGCTCTGCTTCATACTGATTATGGTGTGGTCCCACTAAAAAAAGCCATCCTACCCATGAATGCGTCCCGGTAGCTCCTGGTAGTTGGAACTCAGCCCTAGAATGCTCTTTAATAGGTATTTGGGCCTCAGACCAATGCGTGAACTTCTGATTTACTCTTCAGAGGCTGTGATGACGCTGAGAACACTAACAGATGAAGACACAAATCGAATCTAAGAAATCAACCAGGCCCTGAAACATCTCTGTGCGTGTGCTGAAAAAAAATTACCACTTAAGGCAGGTACCCCACAGCCAAAGGGTTAGCACAAAACAATCAAAAGGAAATGCATCGACTTCAGAAATCGCGCTGAAACGTACCATTTTATCTATAGCATTGGCTTACTATATGCTTTTATCTTTCTCGGATAGTATACGCAAATCCCTGAAGGGATCTTTCGAGCGGCATAAAATTCAAGCTCCCGTGTCTTTTTCTCCTGACTAAATGACTTGAACAACTTCCGCCTGAGACTCAGCCTTACAATTTTCGCAAGAGGGAATCAGGCTGGAGCCGGCGAACCACGGTCTATTTGACGATATGAAAACCGACATAAACAAAACAATGGACATTCCATAGCGTCAGCTCCAGACAAGCTATAAGCGCAATGCAACGAATTATGCAGTATGGGTAATCTGGATGCAGTGAGGTCTTGAGATGGTACTAAAACAAGGGCTGGACATTTGAAGACACATGCTGTCCCATCCTTGTGGACATATTGCGTGGATGGCCACCCTCTCTACTTGTGGGAAGGCATAGGCCTCGCGAGCTGTCGGTGATACACGACGATGGCAAATTTTGGTAGCTACATCTGTCTATCGCAACATGTCTCAACGATGCTGGGTTTTTGAAAACGTGTGCAATCTTCTAAGGAAAATCATGCTTTTTGTGGAGCCTCGACTATGACACATGGCCGACAGCCCAATTTCCTTAGGCACATCAACCGTGTCTGCTGATATTTGCGTCGTGTATGGTGCAGCAATTCGACAAGATATTTTGTATACTGTTTTACATCCCTAAGGGAAACTGATTTCCGAAGTCGACATTGACAGATGCCACAAAACTTTACAAAAGTCGTGATGGCCAAAAGACTGAAGACGGATATATGTCTCTGGTAGATGCAACGCGGTGCATCTACAAATGGCGGGAGAACCGCAGCTGCCGATCAGATATCAAAAGCCACAGGACAGAAGCAATTCAACATGGACACCGAAATTTGTATACTTGATTCCTCGAAGTTCGTCATAATACCAATCCCTGTTCAACTGTGAACCACTACTGCCCATTTTCCATCGACAAACCTTACTCGTATCACCTAACTGAAAGGCGCTATCAGGGCATACAACAAGCCACGAGCGAAAAAGATCAAATAGGACGCCCA